ATCCAGTTTGCGAATCTCACATATTATATCCAGCAATCTGTTGTCTGGGATTGTGACACCCTCCCTGTCTTCTCCTAGGTGTGCTCATGGTAAAGATGTTTTTTTTCATCTCTTTTAACCATTGCAACTGCAAGTGAGGCTGATCACAAAGGTGTTTGGAATCTGAGTGTTGAGTGTTGAGATCGCATGTGTCAGAAATTAATCAATGATGTGAGGTTTATCTTCCGAAAGCAGTACTGGGGCTTGATTCTGGTGGTGTCTACAGATTCTGTATTCGAATATGGGTGGAACTCCAACTTGGGGATATTAAAGTATCTGAGGTTTCTTAGTTGTCTGGATGTCGGGCTGTGGTTTGTGGAATCTTGTTGATAGGGTGGATACAAATGAGGAATAGGTTTTGCCACAGAGTAAAGGCTTATTTCTGCCTAATAATTTTTAAAATGAAAACTGGAGCAGTGTGTTCTGCCTCAGGCTTTGGGATATATTTGCAGTGATGCTGCTTGAGGGACCTGTAATCCGGGGTGGGGGAAGTCGCACATTTCCTGACCTTTCTCTCCTACTGCCTCTGCTCCTCGGGGACATTGCAGGGCAGGTTAGTGTTCAGCTGCTGGGTAGTGGATTTTGGAGATGACTTGATTGTTGGTTATAGCTTTAAACCTGCAGTTACTCTTGGACCATGTCTTGTACTGAGTTCAATGGGTTGGACTGAAAGCTGTTCTGTAATGTGTGAGGATTCTCCGGTCTGTTATGTAGTATTCCATCTCAATGTTTATTGCTTAATACAGTTTATCTGTTTGATCTGGGGGATAGACAAGTAGCTGCGAGTCAGTCAGTACCTTTCAGTGCAGAGCAGCCATCAAGCTGGCTGTTGGTAGTGATGAATAGGTGGTGTATCTTATTGGGCAGAGTGAGGGGCAGAGAATGATAATGGGTAGTAGGTAAATATTTTGAAAGCTTTGTCAAACTGAAGTATTGTATATGGCCTGATAATTTCTTTTAGAAAGAAAAAGGCCTGATGTTCCTAACATACTGGATTTGCCAGTGGTACGACCCCTTTCGAGTGATTGTTAGCAGATATTGTTTGGTCCCAGTCATGTTTGTGTCTCTGGCCTTTTCTGATGGGTCCCAATGCGTGTCAGTGGTCTGTAGCTAAGGGAACAGATTGTTTTCGCAGTACATTGTACGCAGGGACTGCAGATTTGGTTGACTTGAGCATTATAAGAGTGACTGATCTCCTTGGAAATAAACATATTGCAAAAATACTGGGTATTGACAGTCAACAGAGATGGTTTGATTGTTGGTTATAGCTTTAAATCTGCAGTTACTCTTGGACCATGTCTTGTACTGAGTTCAATGGGTTGGACTGAAAGCTGTTCTGTAATGTGTGAGGATTCTCCGGTCTGTTGTGTAGTACCCCATCTCAATATGTTTATTGCTTAATACAGTTTGTCTGTTTGATTTTATTATTCAGATGGCTATTCGGATCATGACTAAAACTACATATGTATTCTGACAGCAGTTGTGCCCTGTATATACCTGAATGGTACCAGGCTGTGGTGCTCCGGTAGTGACTTCTGGTTGGTGTTCTATCTCCACGTGGACCTGTTTAGCACTGGGATAGCATTCGGTCCTGATTTGAGTAGGAAACTGGTGTCTTAACAAATGGTCTGGCTTCCTATGCCATGTGGCAAGTCACATGACAATCCTTGTTTAGTAGCAGCCCCGACCCATCTGTTGGCTTGTCACTATCGAATATTGGGCAGGAATCCAAGGCCTCCCAGGCAGACAGCCCCCGAAGTGGAGGATTCCAAGCTAACCTTTCAGACAGGGAGTGGCATGGACTTCATGTATGCAGATTAGCCATGTGCTGCAGAATGGGAAGAGCCAGGAGTAATGGAGAGAGGGTTTCCTGCTCTTATTCATCAGACAGACAAGACAGCAGCTTGATGCAGGAAAAGAGCAAACCTGAGAATGCACTTGGAGTCAGCGTGCACTGCCTCCCCACCCCCACCTTGACGTCACACCATCACAAACCCTCCTGCCTTTCACTCTGAGTGTCATTCATTCATTGCCAAGACTGATGAAAAATTTACTTGGCAAAAATTCAAACAGTGCACAGCTGCGAGGTTTTAGTTTTTAGGCAGAGTGCCTTCAATTGAAAATGATTTATAAATAGTGCTCTAGCGTTCCTTCCCACAGTGAAACTCGGCAGGGCACGAGGTACAGTAAATGGGACATGAAAGCTTCACTGGGGCACTTTATGGCATGATGAGTTTCTAACTAAACTCCTGAAAATCTTGTTCGATTTGCAGAAGTGGATGTGTCGTTTAATGCATGTTGCATCCATGATATAACGGTGTCTCTTTAATCCTCTCTCCAGGGGAAAGGCAGCTGGTTAATCCATTGGAGGGTAAAGGTGACTTAAGAGGCTGATTTTAAACTCGGAGGATTTAAGTTTCCACTTGACTTGAAGTTACTTCTGCTTCAGTCATGTAAAACTTTCTGGTATCTACAGTGACTAGCAAACACTGTTGACCGCCAGCCTCAGTTAACTAGCTATAAACCTGTGCACTGGGATAGCATTTGGTGCAGTGAGGTCTGTGGCAGCCACCAAGCATTTGAGGGTAGGTTATCTTGCTCAGAATGGTACCTACTGTGAGTTGGGATGGAAGATGGATTAGAGATCTTCAGATCTCCATACCACAGAATGGTACAGTGGGGATTTTGCCTGTAACTGTACAACATTAGAGTGGGAGAAATATTAAACACCTTGATCCAAGTCCAGAACAAGACAGAATTATAACTCACTGGGAGTTCTTTCTGTTAACACCGCAGGAGATTATAAGAGAACAGTTAAAATACAAGCCATGAGATTTTTCTGTGTAATACAAGTTATGTTTTGTACAGTTTCATGGGTGAGAACAGTTCTCTGGTGACTTGTGAAATATTCATTCTTCTTAGATTAGTTTAACCTCGAGTATTGGCATATGATTATGGGGCATCCCGGGTGTTCACTTATACACTCCAGCAGCATCACTGATTAGCAGGCAGGAGTGCTGCAACATGTCTCACATTTATGTTTAAAAACACAGTTAGCCAAAGCTAAAAAAATCTGGTTTACAATAGTTTTATTAAAGTCTACATCCTGCTAACCAAAATCTTAAGTATGAATCTGGAGAAAATAACTGGACGCAATGACTATGGCCACCCCAAAGATAATGGCCATGGAGGCCATTCAGGGTGTTTGTTCTCTGCAATCGTGGCCGGAGAATTGTTTTGCATCAGAACTATCTCTGAGCAAAGCCTGTAAAGCTGAGTTATTAAGCTGTTCAATTTAGAAATGTATAGTTAACAATTCTTCATATTCTTTATTTTGAGAACATGTCCCATGTATTTTGACAATTCACACGTAATGTTTATGATAAAATAACTATATCCTGTGATTCCGCACCATCCAATGCTGATCCTTGTACTCGCACTGCAGAGCTGTAATCCTGCTCTGGTCAACACCACATTGGTGTGGATTTGCTATTTGTAGTTAACTATATTAGTGCAACAGGTTTTCAGTCAACTGAATTGGCAGCCCTCCTGCTGCCGTTTACAGTACTAGCCCATAAAACCTTTTCTAGAGAAGATGTGGAGACTAACTGGCCAGATGGTTAATACATAATAGAGCAGTGATTGCACTGAACAGAAGCCCTGGCTCCATTCGATTCTGCTATGTAAGTAGCTGTAAGCCTAGTGTAATATGTCAGAGGTAAGAGAGTGTTTCATTGTAGGCATTTATTGGGAAGACGGTGTCTTTCCAGAAGAAGAGGTGCTGCGATATGGTCTGCAGTACCGAAAAGTGTAAAATGGCTGCCGAGACACACAAAATGGCAGCCAGAGGCCACTGGACTGGAGAGGCGCAGTATTCCACATGGAGAGGGGTGTTTAGCGCTAGATATGAATGGATAAAAGTCCAGTATTCGTGTTTTTAACGTGGCACCTCTGACAGTTCTGAAGTTGCTTAATAAATTAGTTGTATTTTAATGCTTCTGCGTGCTTGCGTTGTATATCAAATCTTATAGTGAAGTATTTTGGACGTGGGCAAAATAGCTTTATGCAAAATTGTTTTTATTAATGAAAACATTTTTGGAAGAAAACTAATTTTAAGTCGTCACTCAACGTCTTGGACAACTGAATAATTCTCTGCAGATTTAACGTAATTTCCGATGCACGCGATGCTGGGGACAGCTCTCCAACTGGTGTCCCAGGAAATTAGTTATGATTTCAGGTTACTGCCCTGTGTATGGGCAGGATTGTAATGTCAACCTGACAGGCCGACACTTTCATTCAGACACCAACTGCAATCTCTCCAGTTCTGGTGATCTGGTCAAGTGGTCGTGGCAGAATGGGGAAGGTGAATATACTGTTTTCATATTCTTTATGTGTCATGTATTGTATAAATGGTTTGCCCAGGTACCCAGGCGGTGCAGACATTATCTGGAGGGAATTGGATTAGTGGATGCTGGAGAATGGAGTTGGGGAGGTGGGGGCGGGGAGCTATGGGTAATGGAGAGAGACTGGATGGGCCGGGCAGACTGGGACAATCTATCAGTTCTGCACATCCCTAAGTTTCTCTGCGCATTTTAAAAAAAACTAGATTGGCTGCTGTGAATTACTACAATGGAGCCTTGTTGTGAGGGTACTGTGTTTTGCTTCAGGGGCTACATACTGCTGTGCTGGTCTTTCTGCTGTTGTCTTTCTGGCATCTTATCCTTTATGGGGTGCCTGAAGGCTAGAATGGTTCAGATTTGAACTACTGGGGCAGTATTTGGCTACATTTATGTTATCTTACACAAAAGTAGCTGTGCAAATTGTTGTTTAATTCGCTAAACCTAATTCTCAATATGTAGGGCCCAGTAACTAACCTCTAATCTAGTTCCACTAAGCGATGTCAGCAGGTAATCCAATGCCATGTTCATATGAGTAACTAATCGCAGGTTTGTTTTCCGCAGCCGACTAGTCCTATGGACCACATGGGGATGAAAAGACCTCAGCCGTATGGTGGCAATAATAATCCATATGCACAGCAGCCTCAGCAGGCACCACCGCAGCAGAGCGGACCTTACCCAGGACAACCGTATGGACCTCCAATGTCTCAGCGCTATCCTGTGGGTGCGCAGGGCAGGACCCAAGGCACCATGAGTGGCGGGATGCAGTACCCACAACAGGTACGGTGGCAAAGGCAGAGCCAGCATAGCCAGGATGCTCATTTTATAAATTTCCCTAAAGTCTGGTTGGTGTTAAACTCTGGAAGTTACTGAAGAGCAGGTCCTTTATTTTTCAGTTTGGGGGAGCTTGAGAACACTGACGACAACAACACATGCGCATTAGATAATCAAGCGTGTGACCTGAAAGAAGCCGATCTTTAGGTTCTATTTTGTGATGTCCCTGTGCTTGCATTCAATTGGAATATGGGTTATTCACCCATATTAAAATAAAGACCTTTTATCACTTGAAAGAATTAGAAACCAAGTAAAGAGGGAATGTAATGGTAAATAGGTGAATTAATGCAATACACCCTGACATTGCCCACAAGAAGTGTTGCATAGGTCTGCATTTGGATTGGTTACAGACTGAAGCTATTCACGCTGGTTGAATCGTGTCTGCCAAAACCAAATGCAGTGGGCATTCCAAGTTTGCAACGTTCTTCTGTCACTCCACATGTCCTGGAACCACTTCTATCACTCCACGTGACTAGACTGAGTTTCATTGGTTCTGCACAGCTGCATGTGCCCGGAGATGGCATTACTAAGATGAGGGAGTAAAGTTACTGGTCTTGCTATTTCATCTATTTCCTATGAGCTAACAGTAACACCTCCAAAAACTGTCTCCTAAATGCAGCATTTTAAAATGACAATGAAGGCATTTTATGATTTTGAATATGTGTATTGTGTCATGCCCACCATACGATCTTGAGGTCTGCGCCTACTGTAGCACCACGTGGTGCTTGAAGCTTCACAGCAGGAAGTCTGTGACTGAGGGCAAAAGCTTTGAGTGGCATCAAACTCATTTGTTTCCCTCACATTTTGATAAGAGCCAACTTTCTCTAGTTGAATATCGACAAAACTGAGGCCCTCCTGCTTAGCACCCGCCACCGCCTCCTCATCTCAGGCGCTGGTAACATCACGATTCATGGATGCACTTTCCTTGCCCTTCACACATCTCGATTCCCACCTCCAGGTTGGGTGGAAACTCTTGCCTGTCCAGCGTCTTGGGATGTCCTCCCAATGTGAAAGACATTATATAAATTTAATTTGTTGTTATTGATTATTTGCACTTCACTTGCTGTTGCTTTTTATCCGCTTAAACAAATGAAATTCTGGCTTGTTTTCTTGAGATGTAATACATTTTTAAGCTTCTGTTTCCACCTGAATTTTTACCCCTTCTCTGCAGATGGCTCCTTACAGCCAACAGGGTGCAGGCAGTTACTGTCAGCAGGGCCAGACGCCTTACTACAACCAGCAGCAGCCTTCCTACCCTCAACAGCAGCGATTCCCACTACAGCAGGTAAGTTCTGGACTTAAGCTACAGATGAACTGCTTTCACATGTGTTCACTGCCCAATGTGTTCCCCGCCGTTATCAAGCAATCTTAAATCTTGTGTGTAACCTGCACGTGAAGTATAGTGGAGCAGCTGTCATGTTTCTTCACTCAGGTAACCTTTAGTCTCCTGGTTCAAGGCAAAGTGAAAATGGTACTCCTGTAAGAATGCTAAGATTGGCTTTGCAATTTGATAGTGAAATTGGTGAGGAAAAAGGGCTGAGGTGCTTTCCCTACAAATACCTTTCAGTTGCCTTTGCTTGACACAGCGGCATTGCCTGATCTCTTTGGAAAGTTGGATTCGCCCAGGTTTCCAACAGTGGTGGATCTTGGCTGCTCAGATTCTCTGTAATTCACAGTTTGTTTTGCAGCAGGACATGTCTCAGGAAGCATTCGGAACTCAGCCTCCACAGGCTTTGACTTCCAACAAACCCAGCCAGGAGGAGCTGACCCTGATGCAGCAGGGACGTCCATCCAGTTTGCCGGTAAGTGCTTGTTCTTCCTGCTCCCAGTCTGGTGTAGATGCAAATATTGACTGATCTTTATGTGTAACAGACAGCATGAGTGTGAGGTCAGAATTGGGTATCTGTTGGGGCTAGACTGTAAATTGTTGTTGGGATAGACTCTGAATTGTTGATTTCTTCCCCTTTTATTTCTCCCTCCCTCAAATCAGTGTTACTAGTAGACAGTTGGTATGTTTGTCTAGCCCTTAGAATAGCCAGTTACTTCATGTTCAAGATGTGCCTTGAATTGTTCTGTGGCTCTGTGCACTTTTCTGTAACACTTTTTATAACATTCAAAGTATGTGTGCAAACGTTCTTTCTCTTTTGGTTCATTTTGTTGGTAGTACTGTACTCATGGGATTAGTGGACCTCAGCACCGGTTGTGTTCCTGATTTGGACATAATTATACTTGTTAAACAATGAAAAACCTGGGTTAGATTGGGTTTTTAAAGATTAGATTATAAGAGCAAAGAAGTTGCATGTGGAATGAATAAATAAATGAATTAATTAGAGCAGGTGATGGTGGGATTGAATCCTTATTTCAACACAGGAGAAAGTGGAGAGTGTAGGATGGTATTTTTGTAGCTTGGGTAAAAGCTTAATGGAGTAATAGCCATAGTGTTAATGTATTAATGCATTGGAGAGTAGAATGGTTGTGATAGAAAGAGAAGAGTCTTGCCTCTTGTATCCTGTTTAGGAAAGAGAAGTACAAGAGGAGATGCCCAGATCTGGGAAATGATTCTAAATCTAAAACGTGCTGTTAAACATATCAAGTACATTGACTGACCAGGGTAGATTAGATTTAATGGTTAGTATTGTACCAACATCTGTGCAGCTATAATCCAGACAGAGTTCCAAATCCACAAGGGTACTGGGTTACAAGTTGCATTGGCTTCAGCTATTCTACACACTGTCAGAGTAGAAGGTACCTATAGGTGCTGCTGTGGAGACCTATAACTTGCTCTAATCTGGAACAATTGGTGCAGATATTTCACATCTGCTGACAGATGATACTCTTGTGATGGAGTAGCACTTGATGGTTCACTATCTCTGTAATAATGCCACCTTGTGAGCAATGCTCTATTGCACGGTTCCCTTACAAAAGGAGAAACAGAAATAGAGAGTTGAAAAGGGGTTATGTTTTGTGCACAAGGGACTAGCATTGGGTGTGTTGTCAGAGCGTTTCATGTGGACAGAGTGCCTGACAGTCGACATGTTGAGATAGACCCTTTGCCCCGTCTGTTTCCAGTGAGCAAGTATCAGAAAGCTAATGCTGAGGACTAGTCAGTGATATTCCTTTCTTAAATACAAAATACTCTGGGTTAGTCTGCATGAGTACAGATCTCTTAATTGTTGTGATGGGTCTTCTGTGTTTCAAAGTTTTCATCCCTAAAAGTTGATCATGAAGCCCAGAGGTTGAATTTGTTATTGTCCCTGGCTTCTTTTTCCTCAATATTTTCGCATCCATTTTATAGGGCAGCCATTTTAGGCATCTGGAGCAATGCATTACAGAGATCGAAATAAGCACCCTCCTGGAAGTCCGAGACAGGCTAAAATACACTGGGGCAAGTACAGATTATTTGTTACCTGTCCCTGGGACCAAGTACATCAGGTCTACATTATTCACCATCAGTCTTACGGCAAAAGAATTGTTCAGGGCTATTTGATTTACAGGAGATGTAAACCCAGCTGCTTAAATGTTTCTGTGCAGCTATTTATTGAACCAGTGTAGCCTAGATTAATAGGCCTGATTTGGACAAGTAACTATTTTTTGATGTCTTCCAGAGACAGTGGTACTGTTAAAGCAAATGAGGGGTGCTGTATTGTGAATAATGTAGGTTTGATTTCCTGATGCTTCGGTAGGAAGTACAGGTACAGTACTGTGTGTAAAGCATGCCATTGAGATTGTTAAAGCCACTGAGATCAGGGAATGTTCAGTTGGCTGTGTAGTGTATTCTATTCATGCACAAGTCTGACCTTGTGTATTCTGCACAGTCTGAGCTGTGGCACCATGTGTGTTGGGAAGCAGAGGGAACTCGCTGCTTGAGCACAGGGGGACTGGAATGTGGGCCAGCAATGAAGCTTCACGTCTAACACATGAACGCCAAGCTGTGATGAACAAAGCTTTGTTACAGGCGGGCTTAGATCAGTTTCCTTTTTATTTTGCAATTGCGTTCTGTAAATTCTGAGGCAGTAAAGCTCTTTCTGACCCAGGTTCAGCTAAGTCCCAGACCTCTATTCTGCATTTCAGAGATTAACATTGCACAGACAGAAATCTTAGAATTTCTTAGTTACTTGAAAAATTCTTAAATGAAGAGGTCTACCAGATCTTTTGTTCAGTTGAAACTCTGAGGCAGGACAGACCAAAAGCCCAAATTTATTTATTTGGTGAGTGCTGAGGAATGTGCTGAAGGGATTGTGTTTGCTCCGGTTTGCATTCCTCTCAGCCGCTGCCCTCGATACACTGCTGCTAAAGCAGAGATTGATTTTTCCCGGCATTCCTCCTGCTGCACTCATCTGCCGTGCAAGAGGAGCCTGTTTTATTTTCTTCTTTGCTTTGTGCCTCAGCCCCTGCTAGTACCTTACACGTGCCATGTTTCCTCTGCTGGAGAGATCCAGGGCTTGGTGTTTCTGTCCATCTCTGTATGATTGTGGCATGCTTCATTAGCAGGACTGCTCCTGAAATGAAGCACTCCATTATAAGGTGTGGTTTCTCCAGCAGCAAATTGGGGGACATGTCAAGGAAGGTACTGTAGTTTGAGCTTGTGACCCCTTTGGGAGACCAGTTGTATGGGACATGTTTCTCCACCATGCATTGTATCTATGCTTTGCTGCTCAGTGATTTCTTATAGTTGATGATGTGAAGTGTTTCATTAAACAGATGATACTGGGGAAGTGGCTGTGTGGCGTGCCGTGTGGGTTATTGTGCTGTTTGTCCAACTTTAAATTGGCCGATAGCAAGATTCAGCTAAGAATCTGCAATGAGTGAATCCTGATGTGTCCTGGACAACCCTCTGTAGAGTTGTAAAGGATCGCTGGTTGCAAATATTGTACATTACTCTATTGTCATCTTGGTAATTTACTGATCAGAATATGTGTGTGGCATTTACTAAATGTGCAGTCCCTTCTTGTGCCTTCACATGTGGAGGCAAGAATAGAATTTCCCCCTTGTCTTAATGAATGCTGCACTTTTATAAATGCATCTGTTTTCCTATGACTTTTTAATCTTTTTGAATCTTTGTGCGTGTTGATTGTGTGGTTGTATTTGTGCATTAGATCACACCTGATGTGATGAGCCTGCTGATTGGGTAAAAGGGGTTAAAGACTGATTCTTTGCAGCCTCGGGTCATTCCCCTCAACTCTTGATTCTCATGGGAACATCTGTTGAACTTTCTTGGAATTGGTAATTTATTTTCTCCATTCCCCACCAGCCACGGAATAAAGGTGATTGGGGTAAACTTTTAACTTCAAAACAAATAAAGTGGAAGGAAGCAGTGGTTGGCAGTTATCTGTTTTGGAGTTAATGAACTAGGATTTGGATAATGCTTTGGTGTTTCCATGCGGTAACGAAACAGTCTTAACATAACAGCAGGGTTTTATTTATCCAAAGGAACTTCCTCAGTAGTGAGATGTCCTAGTCTCTTACACGTTTGAGTCATGGTTAATGCATTTTTTTTCTTTCTGTCTCTTTATCTCTCACCTCTCTTCACATTGGAGAAATGTATCTTTGTAAATGTAATTTGGATCTTCCTTCTACTGTTCTACAAACTGTGAGTCAGTGTGAACATGCTGAGCAACTGTATCTCTAGTTATAGTGAGTGCGAGCGCACTGAGTGACCCTGTCTGCAACCACATCTTGTGAGTGTGAAAAAGGGTAGTTTCATTGTATGTGGAACGACAAACATTTAAGTGCACCGCGAATGTGTCTCAATGTTAAATATATGTTTGTTGAGTGTCTTATTTTGTGCTTTGCACATTCAGCTGGTGCTGTAACTGCAAATATCAGTCTAGCTGTAAGCGAAATCTTAATGAGCTGGTGCACTAGTCCCAGCCTGCATATATACCTCCACTTGTGATGTGTGGAAGAGCTTCAATGGGTTTAGGCTGTTTTAAGGAGTTAACAGCTGCAATTATTAGCTTTGTGTGCTGTGATTATTATGGGCTGTGTCAGAGGAGATGATGGATGTTTTATCCAGTTCGGTGATGGGTGTGTACGATGGTGATAGCTCAGTTTACGGGAAATGCTGCACACTGGGTTTGTTTAGTGGCACAAAGATGCATATGGCAGTGGGGGAGTGATTACTTGCCACTTGCTGTTTTTCATGGCGGATACTTGATTAGGTGGATAAGGAGATGAGGGTAATGTTGCAGGGAAATCCCCAGCTCTGGTTTAATGGGAAGGTTTCAAGATGCAACCTCTGACTAACCATACAGGATAAGCTATCAGGGATTTTACGCTGGGCAACGTGTGATTGCTTTGCGATCAGCAGATATGCACTCTTGTGTGGTGTGGNTTTTTTTCTCTGCTGTTCCACCTCTCGAGTTGGTGCCTGCACACCACTGGCTGTGGAGTCTTATTCAGCGTTCGGGGCCCATTTCCTGTTGCTATTCTAGTGCCTCGCTTCAGGGGCCTGGTTCCTGTTTACATGTGTTATACTGCGTCAGGGCCCTGGCGTCTCTTACACTCAGCTTTGTATGTATTTTTCTCAGTTTTACGGTTTAAAAAAAAATCACACTGCATTAATCTTCGGAGGTGTAAATGACTGCCGCCACTTTTGCTTGCATCAGCGCGGCAGTGACGGTGTGCTGCTTACTGAGGCTTTGCTGTGGTTGTATCGAATGCTCTGAATTTAATCTTTTAACAATGTGCAGTCAAGGCTGACGGCCACGATATGTCAGACCATTTCTGCTCTTATCTTGTAACATTTCAGTTACCAGTGTTGGGGAGGTGAGCACTGGCTGATGGGGGCACCAGACCTCTCTCTTTCCCCCCCCCCCCCTTCCTTTTAATTATAAGCTTTGGATATGCCCTACAGAAGGCCTCTGAGTAGGGGGATGGGATGCTTTGTATTCTGAGCTGAGGAAAGCACGTGCTGGGCCAAGGCCGTGTGACCTGGGAATAGCATTGAGGCTTCAGACCTGATCCCTGTGCATGAAAGTCATGTTAAATGAGCGCAGATTTAAAAGCTTCATGACGCGGCCTGATCAAAACTTCTTTTTAAAAAAAGAAAGCATCTGTTTATTTCTTATCGTTTTCCCTAAAGATATCACTTGCGGGGTGGGGGCAGCAGGGTGAGGAGGGAATCTAGCTGCATTGTATTAACGACTGGCATTTTCTATAGCACCCTTCACGCGCAGTAGTGTCTCGGAGTGCTAAACGTGTGTTTGAGGATAGTCCTTGTGTTAGCCACATCTACGATTTACTGTTTGGATACACTGCCGTATTCTAGAAGGGAGGAACGCGCCTTCTAATCTCAACTGCACCCGGTTGTATGTATTTTGTCAGAGAGCTGTTTTGTGTGCATCGTTCTCTATTGGTAAATACTTAATTAAGATCAGATTGCTTCTCCGTCAGACTTCTGCTTAAGTCAAATTGCAAATCTTGCTATAACTACAAATTTTCACTGAGTTGTTTTTTGACCTGACTTCAGACTTGATTTCTGCAAATGAGCCCCGCTGCTCAGGGAGGGGATGTGGTTATCTGGTGCGCGGATAAGTGACCATCTGCTCCAGCTGCTTGGAGTGATGTAGTATCAGTAACTGCCTCGATGTGGATCCAGGGTGACGTGAAGCTCCCGGGTAACTCTTTCCCCAGCCTGTGTCTCCGGTTACCATCAGTTACCGTAACTTGACGATGGTACTTGGGTAACATTTGCATCTATAGTTTACATTTTGGAAACACTGCAGTATACTGGGGGGCTGGGGAGAGAAAAACAGAGGAAAATGCTTTATTCTGTTCTCTCTTGCCCTTGGAATACAGTACACAGCATAGTATCTGCACTCACTTTTCATTAACTGAAAATATAAGTTCTGTAAATAGGAGCTTTCCTGTAAATGGCCATTATCTCTGTGGTTCCTATGAGTGATTAGGCAGCACTGGCAGTGGGTTTACTTTATTCCATGTCTATTTTGTTTTGGGCCAGATCATGACAGACTCTATGGTAGGTTTGATAAAATAACCTACGAAAAGACAGTATGTGATGTACCAAATAACGGTTGGTGGAGGGGAGAAGGAAGAAGCTGGATTTGTATATGTGGGCGGGGGAGAAGCTGGCCTTGTTTGGAGGAAAGGGTCTGTACATGTAGTTAGGGGTAGGGATTGGGTTGCAAGTTTGACGTTGTTTGGTGGTCTTTGGATTTTACACCACGGTGAGGAAAGAGGTATATATTAAAGGATGCTTCTCTGTAAAGCTGACGGTCTCCTTTGTAGTAATTGACTCTGCAGCTGACCTTTGATCTGCTGTGAAGAATGAAGAGCAAGGCGTGCGCCAGTGTTGACTGGTGGAATAAGCAGTGTTGCCGTGGCAATTGGCTCTGCCAAATCAATGTATTCAGCTTTGAAAAA